TTGGCTCACAGTTCTGCAGGCTGTACAGGAAGCATGGTGCTGGTACCTGCTTGGCTTCTGGGAGGACTGAAGGAGATTTTACTCAGGACAGAAGACAGAGTGGGGAGTAGGCACTTCACAGGGCGAAAACAGGAGCAAGAGAGAGAGAGTGGGTGGGGCTGGGAGTGCCACACATTTTTAAACAACTAAATTGTAGGAACTCAGAGTGGAAGCTCACTTACCACCAACGGGATGGCCCAAGCCATTCATGAGGGATACATACACTCCCATGACCCCAGCATCTCCTACCAGGCCCCACCTCTCACACTGGGAATTAAAACTCGACATGAGATTTCGGAGGACAAATATCCAAAACATAACAGCATCCTTGATCTGTGGGGCTGCTTCTCCTCCTCATTGTGCCAGGCCCTGCCATGGCCCTGAGATGTCCCAGCGCTGACAGGGCTGGCCTATCCAAGGCCTCCCCTCCGGTTCATGCACTCCATCTCCCAGGGTTTCAGCCACTGGTCTTCAACAACACTTCAAACTACCCTGCCTTCAAGACATTCAACTCAACTTTCCTTTCTCCTCCAATTCAATCTCCTATTTTTATAATGGTCTCAATTGTTCTCTTCAAGAAACTTTTTCTTCCCTGGCATAGATGTTTTCTCTGACTCAGTTGCCCCATCCCACTCTCAGGACTTCCTCTGGCCATACCTTCTTTCCTATCAAGCCTGGACTCCATGAAGAGTTACTTGAAACATGCCTTTATTAGCCCCCATAACCCCCTGTTTCAAGTATCCTTCCAAGTCCCTGCCCTGAAAAATCTCAGTCATGCACAGTTCCACAGCCTGGCTTCTCTACTCCATAGCCTGAAGGTGCCATGAAAGACTGATGTCCGCGCATGTTTACAGAGCAGCCAGGGTCGCAGGAGCATCTGCCACTGTGATGATCACTCTTCCCCATCTTCCTCATTGCCTTGTCTAAACCTTCACCACTCTCTCTGTCCTTCCTACGTAATAGCTCTATCATTACTATTAGGAGGTGGTCTTAAAACAAGAGAATCTTCAAATGATCCATTTCCCCATCCCAAGCCCCTCCCCACCTGATAGGGTTAGGCTTTGTGCCGCTACCCAAATCTCATCTTGAATTACAATCCCAATAATCCCCATGTGTCAAGGGAGACACCAGGTGGAGGTAATTGAATCATGGGGGCTGTTTCCTCCGGCAGGTTCTTGTGATAGTGAGTGAGTACTCACGAGATCTGATGTTTTTATACCTGTTTGGTAATTCCTCCTGTGTTCATTCTCCCTCCTGCCACCTTGTGAAGAAGGTGCCTTGCTCCCCCTTCACCTTCTGCAATGATTGTGGGTTTCCTGAAGCCTCCCCAGCCAGGCAGCACTGTGAGTCAATTAAACTTCTTTCCTTTATAAATTACCCAGTCTCGGGCAGTTCTTTAATAGTGGTGTAAGAATGGACTAATACGCCCCCCACCCCACACACACATCTCCTAATCATCTCTCTCCCATCCTCAATTTCTTTCTAACACTTCCAGAGGAAGAAGGCTTATTCCTCCAGCTCCATGATATAACTTTACTACATCAAGTATCCCCATTTCCCATATCCTCAGCCTCTTCTCTCCGTGGGCATTCCTCGGGTTCTGTGAACTTTGTTAAATTTCTCCCATCTTCAAAACAAACAGTGAGTGCAGTAACTTGACTCTGTATTCTCTTCCAAGAATGGTCCTCTTTCCCCTTCCATTTATAGTCAAGCTGTACTTGCTATCCTTACTTCTTCGTTTCTCACTTTTTTTTTTTTTACAATTTTACATTTTTGTACATTGTTCATAATTTTAATGTTAAAAATGCTAAAGGCTCATCATAAGAATATAGAAGGCAATATGTTAAAACATAAAGAAGAGCATTTTAAATATCTAGTAGTGTTATCACCTGTTTACTGTTACTTTTTCTATTTATGCATTATTTTTCCACTTCATCCATAAACGTTTTATGATTACACATACTGCCAATGAATAAGGAGACCTGGCCAGGCACAGTGGCTCACACCTGTAATCTCAATGTTTTGGGAGGCTGAGGGAGGAGGGTCACTTGAGTCCAGGAGTTCAGGACCAGCCTTGGCAACATAGCAAGACTCCATCTTTACAGAAATAAAATTCACCAGGTGTGGGGGGATGTGCAGGAGGACCACTGTGCTGAAATGAGCTGATTGTACCCACTGTGCTCCAGCCTGAGCAACAGAGTGAGACACTGTCTACAGATACGAAAAATAAATAAATGAGACCCTTCAAAAATCTGTAACATTATTATCATACCTAAATAGATATAAACAAAACTTCCTTAATATCATCAGATCTCCACCACCCTTACACTTTGAGGACTGCCCTTCCAGATTTTTTCTATTTATAGATATGCAATGTCAGATATATCCATTTTTATTAAAAATGCAATCTTATTATATATGCTATTGGAAACCTGTCTTTTCCCCTTACTAATATCTTGTATCTTTCTAAGTTCCAGTGGAGCTTCATTTTTAAATGTCATCATTTTTAAAACTTGTCCAGTAGTTTTTGTATAAATATATCATAAATTATTTAATCAGTAACCTATATATGCCTGCAAAGTGTTAGGCTACTGTTACTATTTTTCTTCTATATTATAAATAGTGTTGCTACGAACATCAATATTTTGTTTTGATGCCTTATTTGGGGGACAAGGCTCAACTTGCCTCTGAGCCATAGGGAATTTAATATAAGAACTACAGAAGGATTTAATTTCATACCTTTTTCAATATCCATTTGTTAAAATCCATTTACTCTTGAGCTACTGCAGTTGAATTTCTTCCTCCATCAATCTCTCCTCATAAAAGGACATCTGTAATTTTGTTCTTCTTTTATTTTTTTTAGAAGCAGGGTCTCACTTCATTGCTCAGGCTGAGAATGCAGTGGTGCGATCATAGCTTGCTGCAGCCTTTAACTCCTAGGCTTAGATGATCTTCCTGCCTCAGCCTCTCAAGTCTCTGGGACTACAAGCTTGTACCACTACATTGGCTATTTTTTTTTTTTTCTTCATTAGCAATGAGGTCTCACTATGTTGCCCAATCTAGTCTCAAACACTTGGCCTCAAGCCAAGATCCTCCTGATTTGGCCTCCCAAAATGGTGGGATTACAGGCATAAGCCTGGCCCATAACTTCTTTTTTAATGTAATTTAAGTTCCAGGGTACATGTGAAGGATGCGCACATTTATTACACAGGTAAACATGCGCCATTGGTGGTTTGCTATACCTGTCAACCCATCACCTAGGTATTAAGCCCAACATACACTAGCTATTTTTCCTGATATTCTCTCTCCCCAAGTCCCCACTCCCCTGCCGGACCCCAACAGGCCCCAGTGTGTGATGTTCCCCACCCTGTGTCCATGTGTTCTCATTGTTCAATTCACACTTACAAGTGAGAACATGCGGTGTTTGGTTTTCCGTTCCTGGTGTTAGTTTGCTGAGGATAATGGTTTCCAGCTCCATCCATGTCCCTGCAAAGGACAAGACACAATTTCCAAGATAGTGCATAAAGGTCTTTGCCCTTCCCAAATCCTCTGCAGGATTTGGCATTCTTTGTCACTCTCTTATTTTTGCAACTTTCTTTTCCTTAGGCTTCTGTAAAAGCCACACTTTCCTGGATTACCTCCTACATCTGATTTCCCTGCCTTAGCTTTCCTCTCCAGATCATCTCTGTCTCCCTGTTTCCTGGGAGGCTCTAAGTGAGTCTGCGCTTTGGGTTTTGCATTTTCTCATTGGGCAGTGCAGATCAGCTACCAGGCAATTGAGGTACAGCTGAATAGGCACAGATGGGCTGTAGACCAAGCGCACAGAACATCCAACAGAGGTTCAGTGAGTGTGCCTGGGGCCGTCCGGACTGGAGAGCAGTAGTTCATGCTGGAGCTCAGGACCTAGGGCCCTTGGGGATAGAAGAGGTTGAAGAAACCAGGCGAAGGCCAGCATGCGAGGACCTGTGCATGCCACACTAGGGAGTCTGGACTCCATCCTTTTGTTTGTCTGGTAGTTTTTTCCAGGTTTCATGACGTAACTGAGCACTTTCATTTCATCTTTTGTGATTCAGCCTACATCTGCAACGTAGAAATTTATTTCTTCATTCTATAGAGATGAGCATACTATTATTGCTCTTGTGACTACAACGAGAAACCGTGTAAAAGAAGTCATAATTCTCAAGGGTGGGAGTGGGGAGCAGAAAATTAGGTCTCTGTATTCAGTGGGTCTAAAATAAAGAATGTTAATGGGATATTCTGTGTGATTTATTGGAATTCTCAAAATATTTATCCAGCCAGCAGATGGACTCAGCATGGAACCTGAGACAAAATAGTAAGTTCTAGAACATTAACAAAACAAACTCGGGGCTGAAAACAGCCTCCATTGCAGCACAGTGGGCATGTAGCATGCTTTGGAAAAGTCATTTTCATCAGGGCAGAGTTTTCTCCTAAAGGAGCACAGGAATGTGGAATTCAGCCATGTGGATGTCGGGTCCTTGACCACATCAGGCTGTTCCCCCAAATGAGGTTGGCACCTCACGTTTCTATCACCTCAGGATTCATCTCCCCATACAGAATGTTCCTCAGTTTAACTGGCCCCACTATACAATGAGAGAAAAGTAATGAGACAAGAATGCCTCATGTCTGAAACGTCACCTGCATGTTTTCTATCCTTATGGGGAAATGACTTCTGCTTAAAATCTTCTCCTTGCAAGACAAACTTCCTGGGAATGCATTCCCCATGCTTCATGAATTCCTGTCATTGGAGAGTGGAAAAGCTTGTTCCTTGTGTGTGCAGGTCATGTCACTGTCAAACACACTGCTGGTAATCATGACATGTCTGGATTCTCATGTGAATCATATTCCATTGAGGAAAAAAAAATGCCTAGAGTTCAAGGCTAATGAAAATGCAGCAACTGTTCATGCATTTGTACATGGTATCTCCCACTTTGTTTCTGCAGCCTGCTGCCTCCCCAGAGGACACCCGTGAGCTCAGTGCCTTTTTGCGAAACTCTACCATTCCTCATCTTGTCAGGAAGAGGGATGTGCCTGTGGTTGAATTCCACAGACAAAGCCCTGCAAAAATACTGGTGAGTTATCCCAGCGTGCATAGAACTGAGGGAAATGAGTGGATTGGACAGAACTTCCAAATACAGATGGTTTTAACTTCAAGGATCGTTCTTAGTCTCACTCAGATATTCCTAATGTTTTTGGCAGTATATATCGTAAGAATGAAAAGCAACTTTTCTGTAAGAATTAAGGAGCACTTGCAATATAACTTTTTCACTTTTCTAAAGCTGCCATGGAGGCCACCTTGGAGAATGATGGTAAAAACATCAACTCTGATCTTCAGTCCATTTCAGGAACATACAGTTTCAGTTGTTAGTCTGTGCATAGATGCAGGGCTGTGGTAGTTTGAAGTGAGCATGGGCCCTTGGGGTTTTGCACCTGTCCCAGAATCTGAGTCCTCTGCTTATCTGGAAGAGGCAAGAATGGTGTGTTCAGGGCTGGGTGTGATGGCTCACACCTATAATCCCAGCACTTTGGGAGGCCAAGATAGGAGGATCCCTTGAGGCCAGGTGTTTGAGACCAGTCTGGGCAACATAGCAACATAGTAGCCTCTACTTTTTAAAAAAGACATGCTGTATTCAGGTTTCCTGGGCCAAAACCCTTGCTAAGTCTCAGCATTGGGGTCTGTGGCAGCTCAAGCCTGAGCTTAGTAAGCCCTTAGCAAATCTTCAGTATTCATGAGTCAGCACCTTTTTTTTTTTTTTTTTTTGGAGATGTAATTTTGCTCTGTCACTCAGGGTAGAGTGCAGTGGTGCAATTTCAGCTCACTGCAACCTCCACCTCCTGGGTTCAAGTAATTCTCCTACCTCAGTCTCCCAAGTAGCTGGGACTACAGGCACATGCCACCATGCCCAGCTAATGTTTGCATTTTTGTAGAGATGAGGTTTCACTCTGTTGGCCAGGTGAGGTTTCACTCTGTTGGCCAGGCTGGTCTCAAACTCCTGACCTTAAGTGATCTGCTGGTCTTGGCTTCCCAAAGTGCTGGGATTATAGGCATGAGCCACCATGCCCAGCCAGAGTCAGCTTTTTAAAATTTTGTTCTCCCACTCATCCTATTTCAGCAGCTTCTAGTGCTTTATCCTTTCTTGTGAATAGCCATCTTCTTCCCTGACTATGTGGCAAGGGTTCAACGTGAATGTCAGGGTTTCATCTGTGTTCTACAGACCATCTCCATAAAAAGTAGGAAGCTACATGCACATTTCCAGCTGTGTAGAAGTAATCAGAGATCACCTCAAAAGCTAATACCCTTCTCAAAAGCAAGCAAATAAGGTAAGTGAGGATGATGAACAGGTACAAAATATAGTTAAATAGAATGAATAAGATCTATTGTTTGATAGCACAACCAGAATGGCCATAGTCAACAATTTATTGTACATTTAAAAATAAGTAAAAGAGCATAATTGGAAGGTTTATAACACAAAGCAAGAAATGCTTCAGGTGATGGTACCCCATTTACCCTGATGTGATTATTACACATTGTGTGCCTATGTCGAAATAGCTCATGTATCCTATAAATATATGCAACTACTATGTAACCATAAAAATTAAAATAGATATATAAAATAAAGATAAAGCAAGAATGCAAACATTCTGTGCTAGGGGCAGGGACAGGCTGGGCACACTGGGTCTGGTATGCAGGGCACAGATCGAGCAGCTACTTCCTGCCCCAAAGCTGCAGTTCAGAAGCTCAGTCCAATATGCAGTGATTTGTGGTGACACTGAATCAAAGGCCACAGTGACAAATCCAGGATTGTCCAACCAAAGAGACAAGCCAAAGAGAGAGACCCGGCTGGGCACAGTGGCTCAGTGTAGAATACCACCCCTTTGGGAGGCTGAGGTGGGCAGATCACCTGTGGTCAGGAGTTCAAGACTAGCCTGGCCAACATAGTGAAACCCTGTCTCTACTAAAAATACAAAAAAAAAAAAAAAATTAGCCACATTTGGTGGCAGGTGTCTGTAATCCCAGCCACTCAGGAGACTGAGGCAGGAGAATCACTTGAACCTGGGAGGTGGAGGTTGCAGTGAGCTGAGATGGTGCCACGACACTCCAGCCTGGGAGACAAAGTGAGACTCAGTCTCAAAAAAAGAGAGAGAGACAGAAAGACCCTTGGCAGAAGGCCTCAGGGCAAATGAGAAATAAGAAAGGGAAGGTGGAGGCAGAACTGGAAGAAGAGCTAAAGTTCTTTCTGTAGGGGCAGCAGTCACTGTCCTGGCTGGGTTGAAAGCCATTAGACACCTAACCTACCTATGCTGCCGATCCTCTCTAGACTGGATTCATCCCTGAAACTTGGAATAGCTCCTAGACTTGTCCAGGTGCCACAGTGAACTGGCCCAAGGGAGCATCCTCCTTCCCTACCTGTCCACAGTACTGACAGCCCATTAGGGTAGTCAGTATGTTTTGTTTTCTTGTTGTTTTCTCAACATGTAGCACAGTACCAGCTCATCTGTTGAGCAAACGTGTGAATGACACAGTGAATGAACCCATCACAGGCACTACTAATAGTTTCTGGAGTCACCTTCTAAAATGCTCCATGGTGAGCCCTTCTACCTAACTGTTCTTAACCTAAACGCTCTCAATCCCAAATCCAATTATAAGCAAATGATATACTGCAAACTGTTTAAAAGATAATGGTAGTGACCAAATTCATTAGCCACCCGAGCTGCTGAATTCCAAATAAAATGGCTGCATTTATTTATTTATGTCATTTTATTTATTAGAACATAATAAATAATTAAAAGCAGCCATTTTTTATAACAATGTTCAAGTCTGCTTTAGGGACTAGAACTGCTACGGCCAGTTATGAAACTGATACAGTTCAAGGTAGCTATCACTGAAGAAAGGAATCAGTGCTAGAGAAATTGAATCCCTGATATTCTCCCTGATATGAGTTTTGTAGAACTGAAACTCATATGCTTGATTTACATAACTGAAAAATTAAAGTTTAAGAAAGGATTTGCAAAAAATAAAATGTAATGACAGTGAGTGCGAATGTTAACAATCAGTTGTCCTTTCTATTAAAGCAGAAAATGCACTAAGGATAGTCTTCTACTCTCTCAGCCAACTTAGTGGCATCTGTGGGATGTGTGTGTGTGTGCATGTGTGCAAGTGTGTAAGTGCACATATAATGGGAAGGGAGGATGCAGAGGTTCCAATACAGGAGGCAAGACTCAAGAAAGATGATGCAAGGGGTGGATCTGGGCAGCCCAGAGGCACCCATGAGACCATGGCTTCATGCTAGAGAAGCATTAGCCCAAAAGAGTAGTTCATGGTTTTTTGTAATCCACAGACTTAGGGTACAAGGACCCAGAAGAACAGCCCCTCCACCCCACAGGCTCTGCCTCTCCTTCAGTTCTGAGCTCAAGGCAATTCATTAGGGGATGCTAGTTGGAGTTATCAGATGATACAGAGAAGGCTCATGAGTTTTAAGGAAGACAAATGGGTGGCAAGGGGGAAGCTGGACAAGTCCTAAATCAACTTCCTTTCCATTCCTGTACTCCTGTATTTACCTTGAAATAACTATTTTTTAAAAACAGAAGCATAGCAGAGTAATTTAAATCTCTGACAATCATTTATTTCAGTCCAGTAAAGTAGAATAACACTATATTAAATTAATCATACTCCTACTCCTGAAAATCCCAAATGTGTTGCCCATCACATGGCCAACTTTTTTTTTTTTTTGAGACAGGGTTTCTCTTTTGTTGCCCAGGTTGGAGTACAATGGCACGATCTCAGCTCAGTGCAACCTCCATCTCCCATGTTCAAGTGATTCTCCTGCCTCAGCCTCCTGAATAGCTTGGATTACAGGCATGTGCCACCATATCTGGCTAATTTTTTTGTATTTTTAGTAGAGACAGGGTTTCACCATGTTGGCAAGGCTGGTCTCGAACTCCTGACCTCAGACGATCCACCTGCCTCAGCCTCCCACAGCGCTGAGATTAAAGGCATGAGCCACCGTGCCTGGCTGGATAACTTTTTTAAGCCATAGTAAAGAGCCCTCAAAGAGGATATTAGGATGAAAGTGATGTAAACAAATCCTAGTTCTGTGTCTCACTGATGCAAAAGTTTTCAGGAGTTTTAGTTTGTGATAATGAAATAGCTTTGGAGTTGAATGGAGGCAACAGTGGTACACATTGCGAATGTCCTTAATGCCACTGAACTGTACACCTAACTTTAAAAATGGTTAAAATAGGTTTTAAAAGGTGTGTCTTAAACATTTTTTGGCATTCATGTATTTCATCTTGACCAGGCGTCCCCAAACTTTTTACACAGGGGGCCAGTTCACTGTCCCTCAGACCGTTGGAGGGCCGCCACATACTGTGCTCCTCTCACCACCAATGAAAGAGGTGCCCCTTCCTGAAGTGCGGCATGGGGCTGGATAAATGGCCTCATGGGGCCGCATGCAGCCTGCGGGCCGTAGTTTGGGGATGCCTGATCTTGACAGTAGAAAATGTTTGAACTATGGAAATTGATAGAAAAATATAATAAACAAATCTAACTTAAATAATCAGTTAAACTTAAGTCAAATGAACCATTTATTATGATAGAAGTACCTGAAGTTACATGACAAAAAAACTACGGCAATTGGAAGATTGTACTTTAAATTTTTTTTTCTTGAGATAGAGTCTCGCTCTGCTGCCCAGGCTGGAGTGCAGTGGCATGATCTCAGCTCACTGCAACCTCCACCTCCTGGATTCAAGTGATTCTCCCATCTCAGTCTCTCAAGTAGTTGGGACTACAGGTGCCCACAACCACACCTAGCTGATTTTTGTGGGTTTTGTAGAGACGGGGTTTCACCACACTGGCCAGGCTAGTCTTAGATTCCTGACCTCAAGTCAACCTTCTGCCTTGGCCTCCCAAAGTGCTGGAATTATAGGCATACGCCACTGCACCTGGCCTCAGGTAAATTTTTATGACACTGTAATATTTAAAAAACGTAACAGTTCCTTTTAGGATAAGTTAATAAAGTTCTGTATGTTATAATTTTTTAAAGCTTCCCTGGTGAACAATAGAACAGAAAAGGACATCATTCTCAGCAAACTAACACAGGAACAGAAAACCAATCACCATATGTTCTTACTCATAAGTGGGAGTTGAGCAGTGAGAACACATGGACACAGGGAAGGGAACATCACACACCCATGGCCTGTCAGGGTATGTGGGGTTAGGGGAGGGATAGCATGAGAAGAAATACCTGATGTAGATGACATGTTGATGGGTACAGCAAACCACCATGGCACATGTATACCTATGTAATAAATCTGCACTTTCTGCACATGTATTCCAGAACTTAAAGTATAATAAAAAATAAAATAAAATAAAATAAAGACATCTATAGAATTCTAATACACAGTACTAATGGGAGAAGCCCTCTGAAAAACCAGTGTCCAAACTTATGCAGAACTAATCATTTGAAAAATCAAAGTTTGAGTATGTTTTTTAACTTCCACTTCAGGGTATGCCTCATGAGTACACTGAGACGGTAGAGATCAATAACTATATATTTTTTGAAAATTGTGTATATTTGTGTGGCAGGGTCTATTTTTTCCCTTCTATTGTTTCTCTTTAAAAAATTTTAGGCTGGGCGCGGTGGCTCAAGCCTGTAATCCCAGCACTTTGGGAGGCTGAGGTGGGTGGATCACAAGGTCAAGAGATCGAGACCATCCTGGTCAACATGGTGAAACCCCGTCTCTACTAAAAAATACAAAAAATTAGCTGGACACGGTGGTGCGTGCCTGTAATCCCAGCTACTCAGGAGGCTGAGGCAGGAGAATTGCCTGAACCCAGGAGGCGGAGGTTGCGGTGAGCCGAGATCACGCCATTGCACTCCAGCCTGGGTAACAAGAGTGAAACTCCGTCTCAAAAAAAAAAAAAAAAAAAAATTTTAAACTTCCGACTATCATAGAAACTTACTCTCAGATCATTAACAAAGGGCTAATCTTACTAATAAATAAGTAGCTCCTTAAAAGTATATCAGAGGCCAGGCACAGTGGCTCACAGCTATAATCTCAACACTTTGGGAGGTCAAGGCATGAGGATGACTTGAACTTAGGACTTTGAGGTTATAGTGAGCTCTGATTATCCCACTACACCCCAGCCTGAGACAAAACAAGACACATGTTTCAAAAAAAGAATATCGGGAAAAGATCAATATTCTAATACAAAAATAGACAATATGTGAAAAGTATTACATACTGTTAGTCATTTGTGTTTTGATTTTTCTTGTTTTTATCCATGTAGAGAGTTTTAAAACTTTTTAGTTAAAGTGACTAATTTGTGCTTTGTGGTTTCTGGTGTTTGAATAAAATGTTAAATGACCATTAAAAAAAAAGAAAGAAAGAAACTTTCAGATGAAGGCTAAGGCAGTTCTTGATTTCCATATCTGGTTTTGTTAACACATATGTTACTCTCTCTCTCTTATTTATTCAAAAATTGCAAATCCTATGCCTCCCCATGTCCTAGAGTCAAAACAACTCTGGATAGAAAGTGATTATGCAAAGTTTATTCTAAAATCAAAAGTGAAATAAGCCCTCCTACAGTTTTTGTTTAGTTAAAAACAACTTACTGAATCACATTTCTGATGAGGAATTTGAAAATGCAAAATGCCAATATCCTGTGTTGGGATCATAATTTCCAATTTGCATGGGAAAAATTTGTATCTACAACATTGAAAAATAATTTCTCCTCTGCCTAAGAATACCCTCGCCTTTCTCACCCCGGGCCCCTGCTGTTTTTGTAGCAATCACCTCTGTCTCCTCTCCAAATTTTCCTGTCTTCCCTTTCATTGCTCAGCTTGTAGCCACCTTGCCTTTCTTAATGCCTCTTCAGCATTTGATACTATTGGTCACTTCCTAAAACTCTCACATCTCTGGAACTCCCCCCAAAACATCCCCTCTGGTTCTTTCTGCTATTTGGATGGCCCCTTCTTAGAAATTCTCTTCTAAGATTGCTCTCTGCCTGTCCTTTCAACGCTCCCGTGCCTCAGGATTCCATCCCAGTCCCCTCCCCTTCTCTCCCATCCATTTAATTTTTTGCATGACCATAGTTCCAGTCTTTCCTTGGTGCCTCCTGTCATCTCAGCCCTCCCTTACTGTATTCAAGCCTTAAAGGCATGATCTGGATGTCTAAGAGCCACCCCAGTCCTCACTTGCCCAAAACCCTTGTCTCCATGACTCACCAAATGTATCTCCTCTCTAGAATCCCCAGTCTCAGTATTGCCAGCACCCATCCATCCCACTCTCAAGAGAACTCTCCATGCAACCTCTGTGTAGTCATCATGTGTCTAGTCTATTTTCTAAACTTCTCCAAATTTTATCTTCCTTTCTCCATTCCACTGCCTCTGCTCAGCTTTCAGCATCACTTACCAGGGGCTCTTGTAATGGGCCCCTGTCACCCTCTGCCACCTACTCTTCCCTCTCTCTTCTCTTTCCTCTTATATTACCCATCCCTCTAAAATACAAACCTGATCAATACCCCTGGATTTGAAAACATCACAGGCTCCCCAGCGCTTTCTGAATAAAATCTAAACTCCTTAGCATGCGTAGGAAGACTCTTCATGTAGACTTTCTCTCACTGCTATCTTATTTCCATCTGTCCACCTCACCCTCATAGACCCTGTCCTTCCCTTTCTTGAGCATTCCCTGGTCTTATACAACAGAACCATGGGCCAGACCTCCCATTCTGCTAGGTGACCTCCCATTCATACTCTTCATGGCTCATTCCAAGAATCGTCTTCTCCAGAACCCTCCAACAGAGCTGGCTAACTGGGATTCCCATCTGCAGGAGTCTGCAACTCCTGACCTTGATGCCCCTGTTGCCTCTAAGGGAGGGATTAGCGGTAAGCCGCATGTCAGCCATGGAGCACAGGTCAACATGAGAGTCCTTGAAAGGACCACAAACCACAGAGTTTTGAGAATTCCTTTTCCTGCTGTGGGCACCATATTAGTCCATTTTCATGATGCTGATAAAGACATACCTGAGACTGGGTTATTTATAAAGAAAAAGAGGTTTAATGGACTCATAGTTCCATACGGCTGGAAAGGCCTCACAATCATGGTGGAAGGCAGAAGACAAGCAGTCAAGCAGAGAATGAGAGCCACTAGAAAGAGGAAACTCCTTATAAAACAATCAGATTTCAGGAGACTTATTCACTACCATGAGAAGAGTATGTGGGAAACCACCCCCATGATTCAATCATCTCCCACTGGATCCTTCCCATAACACGTAGGATTTATGGGAGCTACAATTCAAGATGAGATTTGGGTGGGGACACAGCCAAACCATATCAGCACCTCAGCACCCAAATCTAGTAGCCCAAGGACAGCCCATTCACCTGCCTTTGGAAATAGTCTGTAGGAATTGAACCTTACAGCAGTTTATCAGATAATATATTACTAAACCCTTTGCAGAGAATTCTAAGGATCTTGAAAAAGGTTCTTATGGTAATATGTTCCTGGATTATTCTGTGTTATATCCATTTCATTAGAATGAAATGTGCCAGTCAACTACTTCACATAATATCCAATACATTGATTTTTATTGAGCACTAATAGGCCAATGTTGAGTGCTTGAGATATGAAAAATGAATAAGCATGGGCCACAAGATAAAAATAGATCCGTGAGGGAGTACAACTAGTGACGTATCATTCTGTGCATGGCACATGGGAAATTATGATTATGATGCATTCATTTATTTCCATGCTGGAATCTGATTAGAAAATCTGATTTGAGGACAAGCATGGTGGCTCATACCTGTACTCCCAATACTTTAGAAGGCCGAGCCAGGTGGATCACCTGAGGTCAGGAGTTCGAGACCAGCCTGCCCAACATGGGGAAACCCTGTCTCTACTAAAATACAAAAATTAGCCGGGCATGGTGGCGGCTGCCTATAATCCCAGCTACTCAGGAGGCTGAAGCAGGAGAATTACTTGAACCTGGGAGGTGGAGGTTGTAGTGAGCCCAGATTGTACCATTGCACTCCAGTCTGAGTAACAAGAGCAAAACTCTGTCTTAAAGAAAAAAAAAAAAAAAAAGAAAATCTGATTTGATAGATAGAATGTCATTATAATGAATCCTTTCCAGGAACATGCATTTCTAATGTTAAAGGTTCTTCATCATATGCTAGGCAATTCTAGAAACTGGTTTAAAAAACAGCCTAATGAGGCTAGGCACAGTGGCTCATGCCTGTAATCACAGCACTTTGGGAGGCTGAAGCAGGTGGATCACCTGAGGTCTGGAGTTCAAAACCAGCCTGCCCAACATGGTGAAACCCCATCTCTACTAAAAATACAAAAAATTAGCCGGGCTTGGTGGTGGGCGTCTATAATCCCAGCTACTTGGGAAGCTGAGGCAAGAGAATCGCTTAAAACTGGGGGGCAGAGGTTGCAGTAAGCTGAGATTGCACCATTGCACTCCAGCCTGGGTGACAAGAGCAAAACTCTGTCTCAAAAAAAAAAAAAAAAAAAAAAAGCCTAATGAATGAAAGCTGCAGAAAACCCTTCTTTATAACCAGGAAATAATTTAGACAGAAGAACATTATGGAACAAATGTATATCAATGGGTCAGTAACTGTAGGTCTTTGAGATAATAAAGGCTCAGGGGCCTTCTTCTGCAACCCGTTCCAGACTTGCTAAACCCAGCATCAGGTATTGTGAATATCTGTGAGCAGTGTCTTCCCTGGTTCTGAGGAAATGAAACAGAACAATTCAGTCACTGCTGCAGAAAGATTGTTTTAAAGTCGTTAGAAAAGAGCTTAAATTTTATTGTATTTTGTATGTTGTATTTTGTGTTCCATTTTATCTCTATATTACCACTAAAGTTGGTACATCCTTGCCACTAAACTGTGTTTTCTTGGTTTCTTGATTGTTGCATTTATTATTATTTAAATTAATAATTTATTATAAGGAAATAGAATATAAATAAGCTAACTTCAGTATTCAGTCTCTACCATGATTTAAAGACTCTGATGTGTTCTCACTGCTGTTGTTTGCAGAACTGTACAAATATCGAGTGTTTACAAATCTCCTGTGCAGTGGGACGACTCGAGGGAGGAGAAAGTGCAGTCCTGAAAGTCAGGTCACGATTATGGGCCCACACGTTCCTCCAGGTAAGAAACACCCACAGAAGTACATACACACTGCTCACTAGGAACTGCTTCACAAAAGCCCAGTGGGAAGTCTTTTCATAAAGATTTCTAATTTAACACTTTGGGAGTCTGAGGCAGGTGGATTACTTGAGGCCAGGAGTTAGAGACCAGCCTGGCCAACATGATGAAAACTCATCTCTACTAAAAATACAAAAATTAGCCAGTCATAGTGGTGAACACCAGTAGTCCCAGCTACTTGGGAGGCAGAAGCACAAGAATCCCTTGAACCTAGGAGACAGAGGTTGCAGTGAGCCAAGATTGTGCCACTGCACTCCAGCCTGGGTGACAAAGTGAGATATTGCTTCAAAAAAAAGAAAAGATTTTTAATTAAAAAATTATTTTTATTTAATTTTTTATTTTAAAATTTTTCCATTTTCTTAAAACTTGAATTTTAAACTTAAAACTTTTTTTATGTTTTTTTAATGTAAAAGTTTTCATTTAAAAAAAAATTTAAAGAAAATTTATGTGGAGGAATTGAGCCAGATGAACTGCTCCTTTTTCCCATCAGGTGAAGACAGTTTAAATATCCTGAGTTCCTAAGACCTCGATAGTAGATTCAGAAAATATACTTAGTGCACTGTTATATAGCTAGTGTTGGGCACAGTAACTACTGGTCAGTAGCAGCATGGTGGGTCTGAGAACATAATTCAAGACCTATATGTCCAGAGAAGTTAAAATAGAAATCAATTTAGGACAAAGGGAGATTGTTCTAGAAAGTTCCTCTTGTCAGGTCATCCCGAAGCATGGACTTAGCCAAGCTCCAGGTATGTGCTATGATTTACAGATTACCCAACACTCATGTTATCAGCTCTGCATTCCACAACAGCCAGGGATCATTCCACCCACAACAGCCAGGGATCATACCATTGATTGTGTGCTCTGTCACCCAGGCTGGAGTGCAATGGTACAATCTTGGCTCTTTGCAACTCCCTCCTCCCAGGTTCAAGCAATTCTGCTACCTCAGCCTCCCAAGTAGCTGAGACTACAGGCATGTACCACTATGCCCGGCTAATTTTTGTATTTTTAGGAGAGATGGGGTTTTGTCATGTTGGCCAGGCTGGTCTCTAACTCTTGACCTCAGGTGATCCACCTGCCTTGGCCTCCCAAAGTGCTGGAATTACAGGGGTAATTGTTTGGGGAAGATTTTTTTTTTTAATCCTAAATTAACTCTTACCACATCTGCACATTCTTGCTCACATTTTAACTACTAAACAAACTCATTTGGTTTATTGTGTCTTGAAAAATCAAAGGATCAACTCCCTTTGAGTCTAGTTATAAATATAGAATTTTAATCTCTAGATTTTTATGTTTTCTATGATTTAATATGCTTCTATAGTCTCATCAATCTTGTTTTTGTTTTTAAAATAAACATAAGGAAAATTAAAGTTTTTTTTTTTAAAGGTCATTGTGAAGCCATCTTCCCTCCCTTCCCTTTCCTCCCTTTCTTCCCTTCCTTCCTTCCTCTTTTCTTTCTTTATTTTTTCATTTCTTTTTTTCTCTTTTATTTCTTCCTCTCTCTTTTCTTTCTCTCTTTTTCTCTCCTTCCTCTTCCTTCCTTTCTTCTTTCTTCCCTTCTTTCTTTTCTTACTTTTCTCCTAAGGCAGAGTTTCTCAATCTCTACATTATTAACATTTTGGACCAGCTCATGCTGTGTTGTTGGGAGCCACCCTGGGCATTACAAGATATTTAGCAGCATCCCTGGCCTCTACCTAGTAGGTATCAGCAGCACCCTTACCCCAGGTATAACAACCAAAATTGTCTCCAGATATTACCAATGTCCTTGGGGGACAACATCATCCCATTTTGACCCATTTGCTGACCTAGGAGAGGCACATCATCCAATTTGCTGACCTAAGGAGAGGCACAGTGCCCAATTTATTTGACTCTTTTTAAAATCAAACCATTATATATTCACTCACTCAACAAATATGTAGGGAAGACCTACAGTGTGCCAAGGGCTGCTTCGGAGTCTAGTTATAGGAGAAATAGCTGTGAACAAAACAGACAAAGCACCTGCCTTCACAGGGCTGTTATCTCAGGGGAGGGAGTCAGACACTGAGCAGGTAAACCAGTGCATCCGTGCCAGGAAGGAAGTAGAGTGGGGTGGTGAGATCAGGGTAGTGGGATAAAGAGTAGACAGCGGGGCTCCTTCTGCAGGTAGGATGGGCAGAGGAGAGCCCTAGGAGGAGGTGCTATGGAACTGAGACTTGAGATGGGAAGACCTACAGGCAGTGCTCAACAGAAAATAACCAGCAGTGCCAAGGCCCTGAGACCAGAACACTTTAGAACTGTTCAAATAATAAATGGAGACCAGCATGTCTGTATTACCACAGATGAGATAGAAATTATAGGAATTACATGCCATAGACAGGAGCCTGGATTTTAGTCTAAGTGCAATGGACCACCACAAAATTAATCTAAGAAGTGATGTGACAATTACGTTTTTAAGAGAATAGGAGTATATAAATTAATACATACTCTAACAAAGCAATACTACACAGTAATAAAAAGAAATGAATTAGAAACATTGGCATGGATGAATCTCAGAAACATAATATTGAGTTTTAAAGTCAAGTCAATTATGATTCCATTTATATAAAGCTCAAAAAAAAAAAAAAAAAAAAAAAGGTAACCTAAGCAGTAGGTTGGTAGAACTTTAAAGGAAACAAGAAAATGAAAGCACAAAATTAAGAGAGTAGTAAGTAGCCTCTTAGAGTAGAAGACATTTAGCAAGAAACAGAATGTTTCAAAGGTACCTGTAATGTTTCATTAAAGTCAGGGGTAGGCATATTCAACTTGGCTTCTTTCTCTATCTTCATATGCTATAAATGATATATGTTTACTCAGCATCTAATAAAACAGCTTTGAAAGGGCAGTATTGGAAACACTGGCTTTGAAAGCTACTGCAATAGTCCAGAGGGAAATGGTGTAGAGTTAATCTAGGGCAAAACAGTGAAGCAAGTATAGCAAGGTATGAGTCTGGATTGACTTTGGAGAAAAAAATCAATCCAGACTCATACCTTGCTATACTTGTTGAATTTATTGTGAGAAAATGAGATAAAGAGAGGAATCAAGACTGACTCCAAGGTTTCTTTTGCCTAAGCCAAATGGTGAGGAAGACTTGGGGGAACACTGTTTCGGGAGAGGAAACCAAGAGGTCTGTTCTGAACAGTGTTTTAGTTATCTATTGCTGCATAACAAATTTCCCCAAAACCTAGCAGCTTAAAACAATAGACATTCATCCTGTCTCCCTGAGTCTGGAATCTGGCCATGGTTTAGCTGAGCGATTCTGGTTCAGTGTCTCTCCTGAGGTTACAGCTGAGATGTCAGTTGGGGCTGCAGTCATCTGAAGGCTTGAGTAGGGCTGGAAGCTCTGTTTACAACATGGCTTGGAGACATGCACAGCAGGCCTTACCATGTGCCCCCCTCCACGGCCGTGCTTGAGATATCTCCTAACATGGTGACTAGCTTCCCCCAGGCAAGTGAGCCAGGAGACAGCAAGGCTCTTATATCTTTCATGGCCTACCCTTGAAAGCCACTTTCTGTCATTTCCACAGTGTCCTATCATTTGCGCATATCAGCCATATTCATTCAGTAGGAGAGGCACCCACACAAGGGTGTGAATATCAGAAGGGAAGAGTCCCTGGTGGCCATCTTGGAGAGTTGCTACCACTGATCATTAGCCAACTCTTGAATTTCCTACTTTTGGATCAGGCGTCCCCAAACTACAGCATCTGGCCCCCTGCTGCACTTCAGGAAGGGGCACCTCTTTCATTGGTGGTCAGTGAGAGGAGCACAGTATGTGGCGGCCCTCCAGCAGTCTGAGGGACAGTGAACTGGCCCCCTGTGTAAAAAGTTTGGGGATGCCTGTTTTAGATTAAATTTGTCTGAAAGCATAAACTATAAATCCTGTTCTTCTCTAGTCAGATGAAAGCTGGAAGTAAGTTATATTATTGTGATCAATAGATTAGTTTCTTAGGGCTGATTTAGGGCTGATGCAACAAAGGACCAGAAACTAAGTGGCTTAACACAACAGAAATGTACTCTCTCAAAGTCCATAACCAGAAATCTTAAACCAATGCGTCGGCAGGATTGGTTCCTCCTGGAGGCTTTGAGGAATAAACTATCCCAGGCCTCCCTCCAAGTTTTTTTTGGGTTTTGTGGGGTTTTTTTGTTGTTGTTGTTCTTCGTTTTTTTGTTTTGTTTTGTTTTGTTTGCTTTTTTCCTTTTTTTTGGTAGAGACAGGGCCTCATTATGTCATTCAAGCTGGAATGAAGTGGTGCAATCATAGCTCACTGCAGCCTTGAACTCCTGGGCTCAAGCAACCCTCCCACCTCAGCTTCCTGAGTAGCTGGGACTATAGGTGCCTGCCACCATGCCAGGCTGTTTTAAATTATTTCTATAGAGATGATATCTTGCTCTATTGCCTAGGCTGATCTCAAACTCCTGGCTTCAAGCAATCTTCTTGCCTTGGCCTCCTGAAGCAGTGGGCTTATGGGCATGAATCACCAGGCCTGGCCCTTCCTAGCTTCTGGTGGTTGCCAGTAATCCTGGTCATTCAGTGGCTTGTAGACTGTCACTCTACTTTCCTTCCATCTCCCATCACCTTCTCCTCTGAGTCTCTGTGTCCCTGTCTTCTATTTTTTATAAGGACACTCTCACTGGATTTAAAGCCTATGCTAATCCCAGTACAGTCTCATCTCAAACTTTACCTTAATTAAATCTGCAAAGACTATTACTCCAAACAAGGTCATATAATGAGATTCTAAGTGGACATGAATTTGGGGAAGACATTATTCAACCCCTTACAATCAATAATCTTCCATCCCCACTAACAAAGCCTGACTCTGTTTTGCCACAGTATTGCACAAATTTCTTTAATCTAGTAAATTTACTTCTTAAAATACTTCACCAAACTTACTAGTATGAGAGGGAAGTAATGAATTAGGGTTTCAGTTGTT